CAATTACTTTGTCTTGAGCTGATTAGCCAACTGTGGTAGTGTTCGTTGATTGGTGTTTATATTTGTTCAAGCTTGACAACCTTATCGCCTTTATTTTCTAATATATATTTCTCATTACAGATAAGAACAAAGATTAAATTGTAAGAAGGGTTGCTTATATAAGAGCATACAGTACATCTGAAACTGCTGAGGCTGGGAAGGTTTTTGAATGTGAATGTATGACCAGGTACATTGTTCTCAGCGTACTGTCATTCTTAAGAAGAAAACAAATCATCAATCATCATTTGCTTTTTTTGTGTGTGTGTGTGTGAAATATTAACATTTGTTGTTTTTCAGATCAGCTGCTATAGAAGACAAACTGAAATCTGAGAGCAGAGACAAGAAAAGGAATAGTAAGTATATGTTCATGTTGTATCCCCTCTGTTATAGAGATTTTTGAATCAGGCCCAATGGAGGGTGATTTGGTCAATCTTGGAAGAAAAACGTTAGCAATGTGTCCATTCCAGCTGGCTAATTTGTGCTTGCTTTCAGTCATTCATGTAAAAATCTGTTATTTAATTTTGTTTCTGTTTTGTTTTTTTCTAAAGCTGCAAGGCTCTGGTGCAAAATATTGTATGCCAGGAGTCAGGACGACTAGGCTGTGCCCAGGTCTCCGGAACCTGCGACGACGCTCAGCTCCATCAGCCCTCCATCTGCGCCTTTGGACCCACCAGCTCTGTCTCCATCGGTCGGCCCCCAGATGTTGGCAGCCACACCATCTACATCTTGGCTCCACTCTCACCCTAGATTCCGCCGTGTGTTGTCAGCACTGGGATGCTCTGGGTCTGTGCCATGTGCCAAACACCATCTAAGCTGCCAGGGCATCATCGTCATCCTCCCATCACCATCCCTTCGCCACATCCTGCCATCATCCCCGCACTTTTGCCTCTCACCATCCCTACACCATCTCCTTGTCCACCTCCAAAACCCCCTCCATCCCTCCCTATTCTGTTGCTTGAACTTTATCATCTTCAGTCTTTGAAAAACAAAGTG